TGAGTTAAACCCTAGATGAAAAGCAGGAGACAACGGTGACGGCTAAGAGCACTCAGCACCAAAAATTCAAAGGCTCTAAAGCAAGACAGTGATTGAACACATGCGGCACATTCACTTGGAAGGACGTGAACCAGAAAGAGAAAAATAGGAAGTGGTAGCAGGCATGTGAAGAAACCGCATCCAGTGTGTGAGAAATATTAAATGGGAAGATAACTGTTGGCAACAGTTCAGTTAAAGAACGAAAGTCAGCACTCAGGCAGATGCCCCACAATGGGATAGTGGTTGAAGAGGTTGCGTGGGCTTATGGCATGTTATTTTTAATGGGCAATAATTATATTGAAAGTGAAACCAATAACTCAGGAATGTATTGTGAGTCCAATAGGAAACCTCACTTAATGAAAAGGAGTGATCCATGTACTTTAAAAGATAACTTTGATTGTTAGGGTTATCTTCCAAAACCAAATCTGATCACGGCCCAGGTACTCTCCCCACCTAACTCCTGCTAAAAAGCCTTCAGAGTGTCAGACACACTGCTAGGACATATTGTGCTCATCCAATTAAACAAAGCCCACTCCAGGCTCTGGCTGCGTCCGTGTCCCTGGCATGGAGCTGTGCCCGCACTGGCACTTGCCCAGTGTTAACCACACTGGACTTCCCTCAGGCCCTTCTGATGCACCGTGTTCTGCTCTCACTCCGAATACTCCTTTTTCTGTCCTTCCTTCTTCACCTGCTTAGCTCCCACCTAGCTCTCAGTCTTCACCAGTGCTGTCCCTGCTCTAGCGAAGACTTCCCTGACCAGTATCCCCCATGGCAATAAACCAATAGCATGTAAGAGTTAAGACAAGTGGTTTTCTCCCCAAGGGCAGATACTGGAACCAAGGCCTCATGCACACTCAACAACCCTTCTACCACTGAACTACTTACTCAGCCCCTAAGAGTTCAATTCATAAAAACCTAACAAGTAACAAGTGTTGGGTAAGATGGTATCAGAGTAGGTTTTCATGATGTCATAAGTGTTTCACTCTCCTGAGGGATGCTGATAGTTGAGCAGGTTGTCTGGACTTGTGCGAAGAGAATGTGAGTCATTTCTTTATCCTAATTTTACTGTGAATTCAAAATTATTCTTTAAAAAGCCTTTAAAAAGTGGGTAAATGGGATGAGAAAACAAAATATTAGAAGGTATTTTTCAATATCATTTATATAACTAAATGAAGACTGGTGAGTATAGAGAAAATTCCCAGCTTGCCCACTAATCACTAACTGCATATGGCATTAATAATGACCAGATCTATGAAGAGCAATCCTATAGATGTAAATTTCAAATCTATACTCTTAAAGTTGTTGCATGATTCAGATTTCATACTTTGTATCTGACAATAATAAAAGTATGTATCACTTCAGTTTTAAATAAGAAAAATCTTCCGTAGACAAAGCATAGAATCAAAATAATATGGAAGAGAAGAGACATGCTTAAAAGTAACAAAAATAGGCAATATTAAAGGATTAGGGATCAGAACAGCTCCAACAGAACAGTTGGAATTCATGAAACTAAGGTAAGGATTATTTAGCTTTCTTTTTAAACAGCAAACCGGGAGTCACTGGTTAAGTACAGATGCTGAAATAAAATCAAGTTTTCTGTCCTTAAGCCCATGATTTTGCAAAACTATGGGGCATTACTTAGATGTACATCTTTAAGTGGCATAAAAAATTAGTATACAGTACTTGAAAACTTGCATGGGATTTCGCCTTTTAGACAACTTTGTCATTTAGGGACCTATAATCTTTTTTGTAATCTATTGAAAAGAATTAATCTAGTAGTAGTAAATAATGTACATGAAGATATCTGTGACAACACTTTAATTAAAAGAACAAAAGTTGGAAGCTACCCAAATGTTCCACAATAGGATAATGATTAAATGTGGGACACAGCATATGACAGAGTGCTGTTTTTTAATGGGAAAATACTTATTTGCAACTGTGATGCTGGACAGTGAAAGTAAGAACATGTATGATAGGCACAATATTGTCATCGTAAGTGTATGAGATGTACACAAAAATCTAGGGAGGGACACACATAAAAGAAAACAATTACATGAAGGCAAGAAATAGATAGGTTTCACATTTTAAATATTTATACCTCCGTAACGTTCTTGACTTCATTTCAAGCTCTGAGATAAAAGGACTCAGAGCTTATGAGAATATGAAATCTATACCTGGAGAAAGAAACCCAAAGAAGAGAGTTTCAACTTTAATACTTTCTAAGCTTAATTCTAGCTTAACAAACTCTAAAGCAGCATGCATTCACTCCAACCCTCCCCCATATAGCAAGACAAATAATTGTAATTTCACTGTGCATCGTCAATTCTCTCATTCTTTTTGGATGTCTCAATGTTGTATGTACTCCCAAGAGCAAGAATGAATGGATTTTCAAAACTGGAAAATCTCAAACTCTGAGTTTGAAGTAGTAAAGACAATATTTCTTCTCACAACTGGTTACTTAAGAAGCATTTTATATTTTCTTGGGACGTTCAATTTTGTGGTAGTTAATCAGAACATTAAACATGCAATATTAAGAGTCTACAATGTATATTTCAATTATTTGTATCAAAAACTATAATTTGTTTCATTCAATCCCATATAGCTCCCTCAACAAAATTAGCCAGGAAAGAGCAGCATTTTTTATCCAAGAACTTCTTGGCTAATTTGTAACTAGAAAGTAACATTTTTTTTCCTTAAAGCTATGCTCAACACCAAATAAGATAAACTAGCTCTGGAGTGAGGAATCAAGGGGCTAACAGAATAAAGAGGCTGTGCTAGAGGCTTCCAGCTTTGCAAAACCAGCTTTCTAAAGTTCCGTAACTCAGTTGTGTGCACATCCAGTTCAGTGAAGAGACAGGGCTGAGCAAACAGGACTTGATCGTTTTATTAGCCTTCTTTTATACATAAAATAGAGACCTATAGATATATATCTAGCAGGATTCAGTTGTGCAGAGTTCAATTACTCCAACTATCTTTGGCAAAAGTGTTTTGTGATGGATATTAAATGGTTTACAAAATTATTGAGAGTTAAAATAGCATAAAAGCCAGCTGGTCATTCAAGGATGATGCTCAAGTCCCGTCTTTACGACTGACCACAAAACACAAGGCTGTCTGTGCTCCAAGGAGAACATCATTAGCTGCAGAAAGAAGTGTATACACCGACTTGGCCAGAAAGCCTCCACAATCCGAGCAGTACGAAACAGGAAGCCACCCTCATCCCAGGAGCTCCTTTGCTGACCGGCCCAGAACCCCACCAGGCTTGCAGTGATTTGCCTTTCCTGTGCCCTGTTCACTGGTTCCCACCAATGGCCAGGCAATGAGACATGCATTAACGGGGCTGCAAGGGGAAACAAAGGAAAGGTGCTTCCATTAGAAGCAGGAGGGCGAAGGTCTGCCCTTCGTCTTGTCTCTGGTTTCAGATTTCACACACCGGCCTCTGAATAGCTGACCGAAAACCTCTCCCAAACCCTAACTGCAAGGAACCCTTGAAATAGGAATTTACATTTTCTATCTTCTTAGTATAGAAAAGGAAGCTAGAGTAAGGTAAAGTAGGTGTGCAGTACCGCTGCGCTCATCTCTGGTTACTCGGTACTCACGCACCCCTGCCACGTTCAGCAGCCCTCCAACAGCGACAAGTACTAACAACAGTGTGCCAGGTAGCGTAGAGCACGTGTCTGTCTTAGGAACTGAAGTGCAGTCATCTTCTCCTCCAGAGGGAAAACCAAAGCGGGCTGTCCTGTGTGTTAATCTGTCCATCTAAGGGCGAAAGGCCACTCCTCTAAGGAGGCAAGTTAGACAGTTACCTACCAATAGCACACTCTGCACACAACACCAGCAGGAAAAAGAGGCTCAAGGGGTTTTTTTGTTTGTTTTGTTTTTGATGTTTATGAAAACCATTTATCCAAAATATCACCAGGAAAAAGTATGGCTAACTCCTGTAATCTTCACATCAAAAAGCTGGAGCTGCAGTTTGCCCTTTCCCTCGTCCTCTTTCTATTCTTTGTTTCCTTTGTGTCTCTCCAGCCTTGAGTCTGGCTGGGCCCCTCGAGATGCCGCCCTATCCCCTGCTCCTTTGGAGAACAGGGCGGTAGTGACTCCCTAACTGTGCAGCCACAGCTGGAGGCAGCAGCCCACACGTGCTCTACAGTATCTCTGGGTCCCTAACTCCCCACGGCCCACACTGCCTTGGTGAGCTTAGCAGACACAGAGTGTGGCCCTCCAGATCCACAGCAGACCAATGACAAGGGGTTCCTGCAGAGGCCAGCTATGTTCACTGCGGTACCTGGGGTGGCGATGGGGCAACTCTGTACACGGACGCAGTGTGAAGTTCTTGTGTCGGAGCAAAGCCACGCTGTGCGGAGCCTAACAGAGAAATCAGATATGTGAAGAGGCCAGGAGAGGTGACCGCAGCACGCAGCCGAGCCTTGCTGGGAAGCCGTGTGTCTGCCTCCCTCCCTGACGCCGAGCGCCCGCTCCTCCATGTCTGAACAACCCCGATTCATCACAGTGCTGTTTCCTCCCCTCCATTCAACCGCTGCAGCTTGTATGATTCATCTTTTTTGTGACGCTTAAGAGGAAATATCCTTAATGCTTTTTTCTCAGATAATTTATTCAAATTTTTATGCATATGAATAAATGGTAAGTGGTTCTGATAACCTACACGAGAACAAGCACTTCTATGAATGAGTCTCCTCAGTACCAGGAAGCGTGTTCAGCCCTTCCTGTGAGCGGCGCGGCTGTCCTGCTGACTGCTGCGGCACTGCTACAGCTCACAGGTGCAAGCGGGCAGTGACTTCCCAGCAGTCCGGGCCTCGTTGCTGCAGCCTGCTGACAGGTCAGAGCCCGGGGATTTCTTCCCAGCGGGGCCTCCCGCGTCACCTAGAACAGGCGGCAGCATGCAAGCATCCATAGTCCCAGGAGAAACCTCAAAATTAATTTGTCTTGTGATAATGTGCTGACAGGTTGGTTACTGGAAAGACATGGAACAGGAGGATGCAGCAGAAACCGTCAAAACCAGGGGGAACGAGTCATTCATCATCCTGACAGGATTAGAAGGAAATACGCTGTATCACTTCACAGTGAGGGCTTACAACGGAGCCGGGTACGGGCCACCAAGCAGCGAAGTGAGTGCCACCACCAGGAAACCCCGTAAGTGGCCCGGGCTTCTTGTTTGCTCTGGATGAAAGGGCAGCACCTTCGCACGTTTCTTAAAGCTGTGCGAGGTGCATTAGAAGAAGGCAGAGGGCGGCTTGACTCGTAGTCTTGCTCCAGTGCTTAGATCTGAATTCCAAAACTAGCTCAGAAACATTTTGCATTCACGGTAGATAAAGGTTATCTTTCTGTGAAACAAGGCTAAGCGGTTTTGACACAGAAGAGAGATAAAAGGATTCAGGTTCAAAAGCTCAGTAGAGTAGCTATTAAAATGACACTCCCGGAGCAAAACCCTCCTTAGCTGATTGCTGCTGGAAGGAAGCCTAGAGTGTCAGCCAGCTACTAACCACATGAGAAACACTGAGGTACTGGGCAAGATTTACACGCAAAGTGTGCCGGAGGATCCCTGTTGGTTCACCTTCCCTTTTCATCTTGCAGCTCCTAGCCAAGCGCCTAGCCACCTCCGGTGGGAGCAGCAAGGGCCCCAGGTTTCTCTGGTCTGGGAACCTGTGAGACCTTTAGTCAACGAATCGGAAGTCCTGGGCTACAAGGTTAGTACTTCTCCATCTCTGCCTTCCACACTCATCTCAACTCTGGTGCTCCCAGGATGGGCCATTTTGTTCATTGAGGCATAACAAGACCCACTAACAAGCTTTCTGTCTTCTGCAAGTCATTTTTATCCTATGTCTCATGAGGAAAGTCTTCCTAAAGGTGGAGAAGCCAAATTGAGTTTGAATCACACAGGCACAGGGAGTGAAGGAACAGGAATAAGAAAAGCAATGGCAGTCTGAATGTGGTAGGAAGGTGGAGTGTGAAGACAGCTCCACGATGCACGGCGCCAGGCGGAAGGCCCTGGTGCATCCTCCCAGCAGACAAGCTTGGCTGGCACATGGCGGAGACTGGACATCTCAGATTGTGTAGGAAGACTGCTGTCAGAGAAGCGGGCTGGGGGAATGCTAAGCTCAGCACATGAAATAGGTGAGTCCAGGGAAAGAGTAGCACCCTCCAAAGCAGCTCTGTGTCTCACGTACACTCCCCCAGCTAAAACCAGTGCGAGATCTAAAGGAGGGAACATCGACACTTCTGGTTTTGAAAAGCAACTTTGTGTCTGAAATTGAAATAGAGGTGCATATGTTGAGTGGGCTTAATTCCTGCTCCATAATATCAGCTGGGACTCATTGTCTACCACTCTGTACATTATTATTAGCTCAATATTATTTATGGTAGGTTGGAAAATATTTTAATCACAATATTTAGGCTGTAACATACTTTGTACATAGAGTTTCTGCTATGTGAGATGGTAACAGTGTTTTATTGATATTCTGAGACTATAAACTGAAACAATTATAAATGGAAGATAAATTTATATAGTAAGTTGTTCCCATCATTTTAAGGTATGACCTATCAGTTACCATCCTATTATCTTATTTTGACATTGTTTTATTTTTTCTCTTTAAAATAAAAAAGTATATGGCCTATAGCATGTCTTATTGTAATTAGTGCAGATCACAGAAGCTTTTCATGCTCAAACTCACATACATTCAAATCTGTCCCTAATCCTCAAGAATATTAAATGTGATCTTTCGGGGAAAGGTAGGTGAGCCATTTCTGAACCTTGCTCTGAGCTCTGTTCTCTTTATCCAAAATTTGTGTTCCCACAGCTTTCTCTCTAACACAAGCACACTCTTTAATTTTTAGGCAGAGAAGTATTGCTAGAAATGTTGACAGGCTATTGTAGAACCCGTCTAATATCATGAGAACTATGGCAACCAATATCCCAAATTTGCAAAAGCTAAGAGAGATAGCTCAGCGGCACAGTGCCTGCCTGGCGAATGCAAGGTCCTGAGTTCAAATCCCAGTATGAAAAAGACATAATAATTCCCAAGCTAGCAAGGCAAAGTAGAATGCAGAGAGAGAGAGAGAGAGAGAGAGAGACAGAGACAGAGAGACAGAGACAGAGAGAGACACAGAGAGAGACACAGAGACAGAGACACAAAGACAGAAGATTCATATGAGAAGGGAGAAGCACGCCTGGCAGCTGAGTCCGTGATGGTGGCCTGGGGCTCCTCGCTGCTCATGACAGACTCCTCCGTCCCTTGTTCCTGCTCTCACACTTCACGTGTGGCTCGGCAGTCCTCAACTGGTCTCCTTGACCCTATTCTACTTGTCTCTTCACACTCAACATTTTCAAAATGGCCAAGTAAATTATTTTTGACACAATTAAGAAGATCATGCAATGTGTATATGAATACGTTCCAGCATAGCTCTTCCATTTGTGGTGGTGTAGTTGAAAAAACTAGAACAAGGCCCACTGGCCTGAGTGAGGCCAGCTTCGGTTTGAACTGTGCTTATGTAACTTTGAATCAATGGTTTAATCTCTCTGGGTTTCGCATCCTTAACTTCAAAAATGGCAAGCGAGCAGTAATAAGAGAAGCTGCTTGCCAGGAGCTGCCCACCGGCTTCTCCTGATGGGACAGCACGCGTCTCCTTGGCGTCGTCTCCTTGGCGTCTCCTTGGCGTCTCCTTGGCGTCTCCTTGGCTTCTCCTTGGCGTCTCCTTGGCGTCGTCTCCTTGG